CTTTTTTCTTTTTATTGTTTATTCAATTTTTGTTTATAATTCCAACTATGTGCATGTGTGTATATAAATATATATACGTAGTCATGCATATTCATAATTAATCATCATATTGGATTCCTAATACATATTAAATTAATGTTTAGATACATATTTATTATTCTTTTTGTTATTTATTGCATGAGTTCATAATAAGCTCAACTTTTTATTTGTATTTTTATATTTGAAAAAAATTGTAATTTTTTTTTTTTAGTTTTTAGTTTTCTTCTCCCAATTATTAGTATAGTAGCATTTTCCTCTCCCCTTGTCGTAACAGAACCATTAGTGATAATTATTAATGTCAGTCTCAAAACATAAATTTTCAGGGTTAAACTTGTAAATTTACTTTAATCTTCTCATGATTTCCTCACATATTTTTCCTTCTTTCCTCATCGTGAGGAAATTATGGATTCGAGTTATTTTGGTTGAAGTCGCATATTTATGACGAAATAAGATGTTTTAATTTGTCTAGGTAGCTCTCACTTATTAGAGGGAAAGAGAAAAATGAGGTGAATTTATAAATTTAGTTATAGTAAGTTAATTCCATTTTGATTGAGGAAAAAAATCAATACACTAATAATTGGAGGGTCAAAATTGGATGCGTCTATAATTTGGATACTGAGTCCATTCATTATACTCTTTAATTTGGAAAAAAATCAATACACTAAATATCAAGATAACGCTTTAGATATATTAATTAGCATGCAAGTAATGTGAAAGAAAATTCTCTTTATTTATTATTTTTCTAAAGTTTTATTTTGTCTTTGGATTATAAAAGGCCTTTGTTTAAGAACAGGCCGGTTCAGGCCCTACCTATATATCCTCCATGTAATAATGTATTTTGCAAGTCTAGTTTTAGCTTGCTAAGTCACCTTAATTAATCTTATCTTACTATGACCAATTAGTCATAGTGGTGTGGTGTGATAATTATCACTTCATAAATTAATAAAATATAATTCGTCACGTTAATACTTGATAAAAACTTCAATAACATTTTTTTTTATCAATCTAATAATCATTACAACAAAATACTAAATTATCTATATATAAATACCTACGGATTAAATATCAGATAGGTAATATCAACAGAGGTAACATACTGACATCACATTACATAGTAGTTGACACTATTTTGTTAATTTATTGTAATTAGTAACTCATTATTGAAGTTTTTTTTTTTCTTTCCCACTCATAGAATATAATTGCACTATTCGCTAGATTTAGAAAAATAGTTTAACACTTATTCCAAATATATTTCATTCTCAGTCAATCTCAATAATGAAAATAGTATTAAAAAAACACTGCATTTTTTTTGGAGTATTACTGACGTTGTTACAATGTAGTATATGGTCATAACTACTTTCTCAACCTACTGAAGCACAAAGAGTCAATATTGCCTTATTAAGCATAATATTAATTACTCCATATTAAAAATCATGTATTTTATGACAATTCAGCCTTTGAAATAATGAAAAGATATACACTATATTACAACTAACGCTGTCAAGTAATATTAATGAGATCTTCATGCGAAATAGGTTGGACTCTCGCCAAACACGAATGTCGCACGGTAAATTGTAATAATGTGTCGTTTATTAATTATTACAAATGAGATCTTCAAACAAAATAGGCTGGATCCTTATCAGATTGGATGACAGTCAAACCCACGAAGGTTACACATGTAAATTATAATAATGTGTTGTTTATTATTACTGAGATTTTCTCGCAAAATAGGTTGGACTCTCATTAGATAAGAAGACAGTCAAACCTGAACGGTCACACTATAAATCATAATAATGTGTCAGTATTTATTACTAATGAGATCTTCATAAAAATTGGTTGGACTCTCATCATATTAGAGGAGAGTCAAACTCATAAAAGCCGCACTATAAATTATAATAATGATATTGTCGTTATCGATACCTTTAACGTATGTGTTATTATTATTCATCTTGAATGATATTACTCTGAATAAACTAAAACAAAATATTATAATGTTAAATCATTCCCACTACAAATACAATTTTATATTGTGTATTTGTTTTTTTTTTTTTGAATGCTACTATAATAACAATAATAACAATAATAACAACAACAATAACAATAATAATAATAAAGTAAATCCAAGTCCCTCGATGCCTGCTCCGCCGTTTAGTTATTATTCTCACTGGTATCTCCCTTAAATTTTGTATTTGATTTTTCTTTATAGCTTGTTCTCTACATTGCACTTTTGTTGTTTGTCGCAATTGTTCTTTACCTCACAATTATATCTAACTTGAGTTATATTTACAATATTCAGTATTTTTCTTAGCTACAATTATATTGTTTGGTAATATGTTCTTTACCTCACTTTTTGAATGCCATTAGTATTGTTCGGTTCGGTTTAAGAAAAATACTGAATTAGGAAATGTATTGTTTGGTAGTATGTTCTTTACCTCACTTTTGTTGTTTGTCGCATTAGTATGTAGTAAACCGAACCGAATTAAATCTGAACCGAAACCGAAAAAAAAAACCAAACCGAACCGAAACTCGAAACGCCCACCCCTAAGAAATACTAAACAATGATAAATAAAATCTCCAAAGTTACAGCACCACATGCTTACATCTAAATATTAATTAGTTATTAATTTGAGCAATTATTTGCTTAAATTCAAGCAATAATAACATCAAAACACATAAATGATCCAAACCCGTATATTCAATTGCAATATATAATATTTGATGTTCTAATTTAAATAATTATATATCGATCCAAATATTCTTAATATATTACAACTAATCTATTTCGTGCATCTCACGGGCGAAAATACTAGTTAAGCATAATATCAATTACTCCATATTAAAAATCGTGTATTTTATAACAATGAAAAGATATACACTATGTTACAACTAACGCTATCAAGTAATATAATATTAATGAGATCTTCATGCGAAATAGGTTGGACTCTCGCCAAATCAAATTCACGAACGTCGCATTGTAAATTGTAATAATGTGTCGTTTATTAATTATTACAAATGAGATCTTCATACAAAATAGGCTAGATCCTTATCAGATTGGATGACAGTCAAACCCACAAATGTTACACATGTAAATTATAATAATGTGTTGTTTATTACTACTGAGATTTTCACGCAAAATAGGTTGGACTCTCGTTAGATAAGAAGACAGTCAAACCTGAACGGTCACACTATAAATCATAATAATGTGTCAGTATTTATTACTATTGAGATCTTAATGCAAAATTGGTTGGACTCTCGTCATATTAGAGGAGAGTCAAACTCATGAAAGCCGCACAGTAAATTATAATAATGATATTGTCGTTTATCGATACCTTTAACGTACATGTTATTATTATTTATATTGAATGATATTACTCTGAATAAACTAAAACAAAATATTAATGTTAAATCATTCCCACTACAAATTTTTTTATATAGTGTATTTGTTTTTTTTTTTTTTTTGGATGCTACTGACTCTATAAGCACAAAGAGTCAATAACGTCTCCACTGAGACTAGATCTCATGACCTCCCACATGAAAGAGGTCATTACATGTCATTTGAGCACAATATGCTTAACTTATATAGTGTATTTGTTAATCATATGCTTTTATATGATTAATTGTCCAAACAAGCCTTCTATTATCTATATAGAAAAGTCAAAAATTGATAGTGTAGGTGATAAAGAAGGTCATGTAGATTTTTGAAAAAATGGACTAATAACAATGAATTGGCACTGTATGTAAGACAGCACCATTTGCATTCAGCAACAAAATTTTAAGTAAATTAGCAAAATAAAAATAAAAATAAAAAGAAGATCAACAAACGGCTGATATGGAAGTTAGACCACATAAAAAGCATTTTAAAGAGATTTTTGACACAACATATTTAATTCACAAAATATATTTAAAATAATACATATTTTTCCTTTTGCATATAAAAATATACGGAGTATATTTTTATTATTTATAAATAATAAATAATTTTTGGCTTTTATTATTAGAGTAGTGTAATAAATAAAATTACTTGTGATTTTTAATTTTTAAAAATTGATAATATTAGGTGCAAAAATGTTGCGAGGGGGAAATAGTAATTTTTTTTTTTTTTTTTTTGGGTTTAAAAAATAAGAAAATAAAAAAGCCAAAAGCTCTCCATAATTGCGATTACTGGGTGGCTCAATGAAACGTCCCACTTACAATGTGTATACATATCCACGTGGCGCTACCCCAGGAAGAAGACAAATATTACAGCTTATTAGTCCTTCCAACTAATCAATTTACGCAATACCCCTTCTTATTCTATTGCATCATTTATGTGGATTAATATATTTATTTATACAAATATTATACATATTATATGTGTGTACTATAAATCTATAATATCATTAGAATGCTATTGCCTACTATTTACCATCATGGTTTAAAATGACTAAATAGTAAAACATAATAATTAATTTTTTAATTTGGATGATAATATTTATGGAGAGTTATATTACAGTATAAATATATTTCAATTATATTCTTTTTTTAGACGCGATGACTAATTATTAATGTTTATGGATTCTGAACAACACACCGTGATATTATTAATAAAACAAAATTCTTGGTGACCAGTTGAGTTGTGTTGAAGAATTATTGACCCTCATAATAACAAGTGTAATATAACTTTGATTTAAAGAGAATCATATAATCGCTATTAGAATGTGCCGTCTAGGTGAAATTCGGATGGTAATATAACTACTATGAAAGACAATAAATGTGTAACTCTGGCAATATAAAATAAAATAAAATAAAATGAAATGAAATAATTAACTAGAAGTAAAAAATAAAAGTATATAGAGGGGATACAGCTATTACATCTCCCATTCTGTCAATCTCTTAAATGCCGAAACCACCATCTCTTTCTTTCTCTGTCACTCAATATTTATTAACCTCCCTATTTTCATTTCTTCTGCTCTTCTCTTCTCTATATATATATTTCTCCCTCCATTCTCTACCCTAACTCCAATATATTTATATATATTATATTATATATAGAACCCTCATTTCTCCCTTCTCTCCAAGCCGCTGTCCCTGTTCTTCACTCTCCTTCTCCATCTCTGAGTGCCCAAAACAGACAACTTTATATCCATTAATACACAGAGAGGGGAAAGGATAGCAGAGCTGCTTCATCTTCTTGCATCTCTGCATTGAGCTTATTTATGTGTTTCCCATTGTTTTCCTCTTCAAAGTCCTTGCCAATCAGTCTTGAGATGCCCCATTAGAGCTTTTATTAGTTTTAAACACATAACACCGATTGTGTGGCTGTGGGCTATATAAAGATTGTATTTTTAAGGTACTACTACTGCTGCGATGGCGCCGAGCTTCGACTGTGCGATTTCGACCCTTTTCTGCGCAGAGGATAACGACAGCTTGTTCTATGACGAGAGCGACGAGGTGGGATACGCGTGCGTGGAGGTGTTTGAGGATCATTGGGATCATAGGAATGATCGAAACAGTCAACACCAAAGAGCGAGTTTGACTGACCTGCCGGTCCAGAGCGAGGAGTGTTTGGCTCTGATGATCCGGAGGGAGAGCGAACTCTTGCCTGCATGCGATTACTCCAAGAGATTGAGGAATGGGGAGCTGGATATCGCGGCTAGAGACGAGGTTCTTGATTGGATTACAAAGGTTCGTTCATCGATTCATAGGAAAAACAAGAAAATTTTTCATATCCCGACAATTTTCCTATATTGGTGGGATTCCATCCCGCAGTTCGATCTTAGTTCTTAACAATGATTCAGATTTAGATTACGTTAAATGATCGAAAATGATAATGGTTCACTAGCCTTAAAATTAGTGATTAATATGGATTAAGCCTTTTTGGGTGGTCTTGATGATAGCTTTTCCCCTTTTTGGGTTTGTGAAGTCCTATGGGGTTGATAACACATTCATGGTAATTGGTAAAAGATGAAATGTGTTAGGTGGGATGCTTTTGTTTTTATGTATTCTTTTTCACTTGTGTGTTACTATATACATAACTGTGTGTAATTGGATTTACATTAAATCACTGTTTGATTATTGATTACTTACCTTTTGCGGCTAATCTAATTATTGATCTTGTGGTGATGGTGTCTTGGCATTACAGGTTCATGCACATTTCAATTTTGGACCTCTCTGTGTTTATTTGGCTGTGAATTACCTTGATAGGTTCCTCTCTGCATATGAATTACCTGTAAGTTAATCATTCTCAAAAGCTTATCCTTTTGGCCTTCTTGGTTTGGTTCGATTTGTGCCCGTCAGCTATGGTTAACCTAGTCTGGTTTAGCTCCTTATGGTCCTTTGTCGGCTGGGGTCACGAGGTTTACCTTATTTACCTTGTGTACACCCTCGGGTAGGGGATACAGGTTTTGATAGTTTATGTGTTTTACTTCAGTAAGATCACACATTTACCTTGTTTTACAGAAGGGCAATAACTGGATGATGCAGTTGTTGGGTGTAGCTTGTTTGTCCTTGGCAGCCAAAATGGAGGAGACTGAAGTCCCACTCTCTTTGGATTTGCAGGTGAATATTTTGTAGGAAATTTCAAGAAAGCTAAAATGATTGTCAGTTCTTAAAAATTGAATCTTTGTTTTCCTAATGTTCAAATCTTGCTGTTAAATTTATGGTTCTTAGGTGGGGGATGCGAGATTTGTATTTGAAGCTAGAACCATTCAAAGAATGGAGCTTCTCGTGTTGAGCACGCTGAAATGGAGAATGCAAGCAGTCACGCCATTCTCGTTCATAGACTATTTCCTTACCAAGATAAACGGTGATCAAATCGCTTCGAGTTCTTCAATCATGAAATGCATAGACCTCATTCTAAGCACGCTTCAAGGTATAATATAGTCATAAATCGACTCTGTTATCTGCCATGCCTTACACTTACTAATTAGCGAGGGATTAATGAAAATTAATTGCAGGGGTTCACTTCTTAGAATTCAGGCCTTCTGAGATTGCAGCAGCTGTGGCAATCTCTATTGCAGTTGAAACCGAGGCGGTAGACAGTGAAAAAGCAATATCCCTTATGCATCATGTACAAAAGGTAAATACGGTGGTGGCCCAAAAGAGGCCAAAGAACGACATAATTGATTGCTTAACTTTCTGTGTTATCATTTTCACCTTGATTAAGTTTACGTTTTTACCAAATTTACTAACATCTCGTAGCTATGCTGGTGTAATTTTCAGGATAGAGCGATCAGATGCGTAGAGTTAATGCAACAACTCTCTTTGCCAAGCGGTTTTCTTATGGCTCCAAGAACTTCACTGCCATCTACACCCCATAGCCCGATCGGGGTTCTTGATGCTGCCTGCTTGAGCTATAAAACCGAGGATTCAGGGGCTGGGTCACGCAATAATTCTTCCCACAACAGTCCTGTCGCGAAGAGGAGAAAGCTGAGCCACCCGTACCTAATGGATCACTAGGTATAACCGCGTCCATGGAGCTGCACTTTCTTACTAAAATCGAGCCGGTTGATTTGGTTGGCGTTTTCGTATCAGAATGGTGCAGCCCCAAACGCTTTCTGAAATGAACGACGGGCAATTAAGATAGTGAATCTAAGCGTAGCAAAACAGATTGTTCCTTGTTGGTTCCATGGCGGTTGGACGATTGATGGATGATCTGAGCAAGAATGGTGAGAAGCTGCTGGCTGGCTGGCTGGCTGTTAAATATTAGACTTCTTAACAGCTGTAGAAGGTGAAAAAATTAAGAAAAAAATAGGAGAAACATAGTTGGTTTTTTTTTTTTTTTTTTTTTTTTTTTTTTTTTTTTTTTTTTTTTTTTTGGGTTCTGTCTTGCTTTGAGTATTCATAGATAAGGTTGTTTGAGGTTTGAGGTTTATTTTTTCTTTGTGAAAAATTTTTTCATTCAAAAAAAAAAAAAAAAAAAGCAGAAACAGAGAAAAAAGAGAGAAAGGTATTGAGGATTTGTTACCTCATATCAGAGTTGTGATTATTACATACTTCTGTCTTGTGTATAAAATTTTGGGTTGCGAAGTTTTCTCATCTCAAGATACAGAATTCAATTTCTTTTTCTCATTTTTTGATGATTTTATTTATTTATTGAGTGCCGAAGAAATTCGCAACCACTATTGGTGTTCATTGAGTAAATCTCACATTGTGAGGATCACAATAAAATAAATTAATTTAGGTTATTTATAATCGAGTTCAAATCAAGAAAGTGACGTTTGAAATTGGGATTATTCAGAAATTGGGATTAATAATTTTGTAGTTATTAAATTAATAGTTATTAATTTGGTTGCTTCTTAAAAAGTTGAATTTTTAATTTTAAAGGTCCCACACTCAACAAAACATTTGGAACGATGTAAATCATGGTGACTCAAGATTTAGTAGACAGAGTCAAATGTCGATGTGCACAAAGAATTTGTTCACTTTGAACATAATCTACACGGGTTTAGGTGATTGCCTAATAGAACACTTCAGAAAATGTAAATCATGATGACTTAATGGTTCAACAGACAAGACTAAATATTTGTATGCACAAAACATCTACACACTTTAAACATAATCTTCACAAGGATTTAGAACATACTTCTTAAAATGCTGATGCGTGCAAGGTTTCTGACCAATTTAGTTGATGTTGTTTAATTAAGATGAGATATAGTAGTATATCCACCTGTGTGTGGAGCACATGTGAAGAGGCATAGTTTGACTGTTTGTCTGGTTGGACTATGGGGTTTAATAACGTAACAGCCTTCCCTCTGCCACCAACCTGACTTACGTTGGACCCTTTTGTGAATGCAATGCGCCTGCAACTCTTGCCTAACTAAACCTTTACCAATTTAATAACATCAACTCAAACCTACTTATTTTCCCATTTCTTATTCCCCTTATTAATTTTTTCACAGTTTAGTACTTTCAGTGGGTCAGTTAAAAAAAAAAAAAAAAAAAAAAAAAAAAAAAAAACTAGTTAAAATGATTGCATTCTAATGTTGAGGATTAACTTCACCTGTTTCTGTCATGGAGTTTTGATCGGAATGTGCATCAAGGACTTGTAGGATTTTAAAGGTGTTATTAATGAGATAACTTTTTTACTTTGGCGGTATTTGGTTCACAAAATAAATTGAAAATGAAAAAAATAAGGATCAAATAAATCCCTAAACTTTATTTAAAAAAAGTCAATTAGACACTTAAATTTTTAAAAGTTGTAATTGAACTCATAAATATGTTATTTTAGAGCAATGAAACTCACTAATTAACCTATTGGTGACCTGTAATTGTAGGTCAATTATGGTTTCAACCAACTCCGGCGAACCTCCAACCAAATTCTGGCAAATTAGGTGGTCGCCAATCGCGTTCTGCCGGAGAAGGCGACCAAGCCTTCTTCGGCTACTGGAGAAGGCGCAGAACACGACCGGCGAGTTGGTATTTGACCTAGCTTGCCGGAATTTGGTGGGATGTTTGCCGAAGGTTCGCTGGAACCCTAATTGACTTGCAATTACAGGTCACCAACATGTTAGTGAGTTTCATTGCTCTAAAATAACATGTTTGTGGGTTTAATTGCAACTTTTAAAAGTTTATAAGCCTAATTGACTTTTAAGTAAAGTTTAACGGCTTATTTGACTCTTTTCCAAAATGAAATAATGTTGGAATAAATCTATTATATTGGTTGGTTTATTAATGTATTATTTTGTAATTGGGCTAAATGTCACATTTATGTATTGTTTTGTAATTGGTAATTAAAAGAAGTGATAAATAGAAAATCCACTAATAAAAGGATAGCATATGAGACGAAAATTTGTAACATTTGCCACACTAATTAACCGTGTTGGAGTAGATTAGGCGGCAATGGTTTGATTCCGTTTTAGGTTTTGGAAGTAGAGTTGAGGATTGAACGGAACCGGCTTGTATAGTTTTGTTTGTCTGCCGATTTTAGTTTGGTGTAATTTAGATTTGGACGAAGATTTCAATGGGACGCTATTTTTGACCTCATTCATATTCACAAATCCATTGCTAAATTAAAGGCTTTCACTACCTGTTCTTGGAAATCCATTTTTGACATTCAATTCATTGTTGAATATAGTGTATGCACCAAATTTCTTCAAATCATATTCAGGAAAATCTAATATATTCCTAGTGAGGGAGTAATATTCTGCTATAGATGTGCCATGTGCCTACTCATTGGATGGGAGTGGAAGAAAAGAAAACAATGCTCGTCTTAAACACCGATAGTCTATTGTTGTCATAAGTTTGAACCATAAATTTCAGAATCCTCACCACTTCTGCTATGAAGACGGGTAGAAGAAGTAAATTGCGGGATGTGTCTCAAGTAATCTACAGGTCTCAAATATTTGTACACTAGTGCCAACAACAACAACAAGACCAAATTCATACGTCACTTTTTTGGTCCATGGTAAGATTCGCAAAGCAAAACTTATGAACTTATTTTAGATTGGTTGATCAGTTGAACTGTACAATAATCAATTATTGTCATATTAAGTAGTAGGAACTAGTTAAAATGGTGTGATGTACATCGAATGTAACTCAATATTTTGAGTATAACCAGTTAACTTTGAGATTTAAGATTGTTCCATGTCTAAAGTTAAAGAACAATTCATTAACATTTGGTTAAAATGAATTAGGCAACTATAGCAGTTTAGGGCATCAGTTGAATGGTGATACAATAATAGAAAACTTGTAAGCAAGTTTGAATTGAATGGCAACTTTAGATTTTATTATAAGGGGGCTAAAGATGATAATCATGGCAGCAGCATCCTTAGCTTGTACTTTATCCATGTATACATACTACTATACCTTTAGTAGTAACAGATACTGATGAAAGACAAACAAATAGATATATGGATCACAAGACAATATTCTTGAATTTACAAAATGCCCATGCCCCCCCCCCCCCCCCCCCCCCTCAACCCCCAACCCACCCAAAATGATATTTCAGATTGTTCAGTCTCATATAGTCGTTCACTATACTACAACTAATAATTTGATTGATTTATTTTTTTTCCTTTTTCCATTTTTGTTCCCACATATTTTGTGTGCGGCTATATATTAAAAAATCAAATGAGAATAGGGTTCCATGTAAAAAGTGACAATAAATTTTAGGTGTCCATCATGATTCATCAATGGTTAATGATTTTGATAAAAAAAAAAAATACAGGGTCAATTTTATAATTATTACAAACTAATGTTACTGACTCTATTATAATGTAGTATCTGTTTATAAACTACTTTCTCAATCAACTGAAACACAAAAAGTCAATGTCGCCTCCACTGTGGCTCAAACCCACACCCTCCTATATAAGAGTGCAACCCGAGTGTCATTAGACTACAAAGTCTTAGCAAATTTAAAAGGTTTAGTAATGATAAGATCATAGTCTTTGATTTTTCAAGATAGATGGTGTGGATGTGTTCACACTTTATAGATATTCTCATCTGAATCCTCCCATATATATACATTGCATTCACTTCTACACTCGTTAGAGCGAGATTATTGATTGGAGACTTGAAGTGTTCTTTTTTTAGTCAGGCTAGCAGTAAAATCAAATGGAAATATATGCTTTTATAATTTTTTTTTTTTTAAATTACCTATACTATGAGACTTGGTTTTCACCAAAATCAAATGGAAATATAAGTTATATAAGGCGTTGTTGAGTTTAGTTGCAGTCTGGCTGGCAGGTTGCGAAGACCATATTATTGCAAACTGAAATATGAGGAAGTTGTAATAGCAGTAAATGCTCCCTCAAATAAATATTTCTCTCTTTTTTTCTTTTTTTTTTTCTTTTTTCCAGTCAATAAATCTTAAATACAACTGCTTCATTTCTTGAATTTATGTTCAATAAATCTTCAGAGTCAATAGTGTTGGGTAAAGGCTTTTGATGGCAAGTCTAACATCACGTTACTTTGTGGAGTGACTTTGATGATTCGTGAAATGGGTCGAGTCAATATTAAAATGTAATACTTATAATGTAAAATATAATATTAATAAAGAATAACGTGTTATTACTCATAAAAGAAAGTGTAATACTTTGTAATCAAAATGTGAAGTATTATATTTTTTCTTTATGAGTAACAAATACTTTATTCCTACTTAGTATTACATTTTATAGTATAAGTATTATATTTTTATCTTGAACTGACATATTTGAGGGTCTGCCTTGTAATTATAACCGACAAAAGACCACAAAAGATAAATCAACATCAAGTTAATCATAGTTGACCGGCTCAAATCAATAGGGCTTCTATTATGAGTCAAAAATTACAAGCTAAAATTTTGACACGGGTAAATGTTTGATTCGATATTACCATAGGCACAAAGATTGTTGAGCAAATGCTTCAAATGTCATGTCCAAAATTGTGTTTAACTTAGGGTGTGTTTGGAAACTCGGAAAATAATTTTTCGAGTTTTCACTGTTTGGTAAATAGTGAAAAATGTGAGTTAAAAGGAAAATGAGTGTTTTTTTTTTTAATATATATAAAAAGGGGGAGACCCGAATATAGAGTACAGATTACAACGAAGAACACACATTGCACCAAGCCGGAAAGCCGGCACGATCGTCCTCTAAGAGTCTAACTATTTCCGATGGAGGTTCCGAGAGCAAGCAGAGACCATTAAATGTGAGTTAAAGGAAAATTAGTGTTTAGTCAAAAGAAAATAGCCTCATTTTGTTAGAAAATGACTTTTTTTTTTGGAAGTCATTTTCCAATTTCCACTACCACACTACTACTACTACTACGATGACCACCACCATCGCCGTCGCGCCAACACCACCAC